ACATCCTCTGATCCTTTGACTGAAAATTTCTTTTGAAATTTCTCTGCACTTCCTAGAATAAAAATGAAGATTTTCTCGGTGGTTTGCTTGAAAACCCCTATCTCTCATTTTGCGAAGAATCCATAACAATATTGGTATTGATTGATAAATATTTATTGTACCTAGTTCCTCGGATTTCGTTTGACCTTGCTCCTACTTCCTTGGATTTTAATTATTAGTTTCTTCAAACTTTCTAAATAATTCCCCAGACTTACAAAATTTGAAGTTCTTTTTGGTTTCCGTGATTTCTATAACTTATCTCTAATAGTTATTTTACTTCTGCACCTCTCTGGGTAAAAGACAAAACTTCCCAGATAATTATTCGCATAAACTACCTACCTACTTCTATTAAGTAGGTAATTGATAAATATTTTCCGTAATTCCCTTGTACATCCTCAGATTTCCTTTGAACTTGCTCCTACTTCCTTGAATCTCATTATTAGGTAGTTCTCTAAACTTCTTCAATAATCCCCCAGACTTTCGAAATTTGAATTACTTTTTGGTTTCCATGATTTCAACAACTTATTTCTAATACTTCTTCACTTCTGCACCTCCTTGGGCAAAAGACAAAACTTCTCAGATGATTATTTCCATACTTCCAGTATTTTTAACATCATCCGATTTCCTCGAGGGAAATTTGCTGTACAAAATAGGAAAATTCAAAAGGAATTCCGAATCCGAGGAAAACTAGAACAAGAAAATCAAAGAAAATCTTGGGGAAATCAGAGGAAATCTTCATGAAATCTTAAGGAAATCAATGTTATCAACGAAACTCTTCGGCAATCTCACTGGTAATCAGAAGAAATCGAGGGAAATCATCCATAATTTCCTCTAAAACCGCTGCTTCACAAAAACTGACCTGCGTGGTTTCCCCCAAGGGTTAAGCCGAAAGGCAAATCTGGTGTACAATAATTAGGGAAAATCCCAGGAATTCTAAGGCAATCAGGAGAAATCATGCGGAAATCGAAGAAAATCATGAGGAAATCTTAAGGTACTGAGAGGAAATCTTAAGGAAATCATGGGAACTTTCAAGAAAATCAGTTAATCTCTTGATCTAAGACATGCACATTTTTCAAATATCTTTATAATTTGAGATTATGTTATCAGAGGAACTCTTGGACAATCATGCTGGTAAACAGCAGAAACAGGCAAAATCGTCGATGATTTTCCCTAAAACCGCAATCTGGTGAAAAAAGAAATTTTAAAGAAATCAGTCAATCTCTTGATCTAACACATACGCAGTGTTCATAAATCTCTTTAATTTGAGGTTATGTTATCTGAGAAATTCTTGAGCAGTCTTACTGGTAATCAGAAGAAACAGGGAAAATCATTGATAATTTTCCATAAAACCGCAATCTAGTGTACCAGAACTGACCTGTGGACCCTGTGGTTTCCCCCGAAGGGTAAACCGCAAGGAAAATGTTTACAAGTTAGGGAAAATCAAAATCGGAGGAAATCGGAGAAAATAATGAGAAACTGAGGAGAAATCTAAAGGAATCCATGGAAAATTTTAAAGAAATCAGTCAATCTCGATCTAACGCATGCGTAGTTTTCAAATATCTTCATATTTAGAGGTTATGTTATCAGAGAAATTCTTGGGCAATATTACTGGTAAATGGTAATCAGAAGAAACAGGGAAAATCATCGATGACTTTTCCTAAAACCGGAGTCTATGTACAAAAACTCTGCGGTTTCCCTTGAGGGGTAGGTAACTTGCAAGGGAAGTCTGGTGTACAAGTTGAGGGAAATATAAAGGAAATCCGTGGAAATCTGAGACAATCAGGTGAAATCATAAGGAAATCAGAGAAAATAATGAGAAAGTTTTAAGGAACTGAGGGGAAATCTAAAGGAACCCATGGATGGTAATTAGAAGAAACAGGGAAAATCATCGATGATTTCCCCTAAAACTGCAATATAGTATACAAAACCTGACCTGCCGTTTCCCCCGAGGGCTACATAGCAAGGGAAATCTGGAGTATAATTTAGGGGAAATATAAAGGAAATTCGAGGAAATCTGAGACAATCAGGTGAAATCATAACGAAATCGGAGAAAATTATGACAAAATCTTAAGGAACTGAGGGGAAATCTTAAGGAAATCATGAGAAATTTTTAAAAAATCCGTCAATGTCTTGATCTAACGCATGCGCAGTTTTCAAAAAAATTTATATTTTGAGGTTATGTTATTAGGGAAACTCTTGGACAATCTTACTGGTAATCAGAAGAAACAGGAAAAATCATCGATAATTTCCCGTAAAACCGCAATCTGGTATACAAAAACTGACCTGCGGTTTCCCCCGAAGGCTACACACTGCAAGGGAAATCTGTTATGTATTGGCGGTTTCGACAACCGGTGGGGGCGCTGGCGTTTGTAAATAAATATAGCAGAAAACGAGTAATATTTTGACGTTCAGCATTGTATTTATATGCATTCGTATTTTTTTCGCTAATTTTCTCGTTGTTCTCGTAGTTTTTTCGTTGGTTTTTTACTATATTTTTTAAATTTTGAACGTTGTGACTTTCTTTTGTGCATTTCGTAACCATACAACACGAAATGTGGAAAATGGAGGCCTGTCAAGCAAGAAAATATTCCAATGCGGTATGTAATGCCAGGTGCCGCATTGATTTTTGAAATCGCCCATAGGTTAGGAAAAATCAAAAGCTAATCAGAGGAAATCTAAGACAATCGTGGGAAATCATAAGGAAATTGGAAAAAAATGATGAGGAGATCTTAAGGAACTGAGGATAAATCTCAAGGAAATCATGGGGAATCTTAAGGAAATCAGTCAATCTCTTGATCTAACCCAGGCGCAGTTTTCAAAAATCTTTATAATTTGAGGTTAAGTTATGAGGTAAACTCTTGTTGGGAATCTTACTCGTACCTAATCAAAAGAAATCAGGCAAAATCATTCATGATTTCCCCAGAACCGCAATCTAGTGTACAAAAACTGACCTGCGGTTTACCCCTCGGGTTTCGTTAATAATTAATTCTTCATACATCAGATTTTTTCAAACATCCAAGGCCTTTCCTTAAACTGGCATAATTTCCTCAAACTACCTCAAAGCTGGCTTATTAATTCTTCTGTACCTTCTTGCGTGGAGGTAAAAACTTTCCAGTGGCTTCCTGGCAAAACAACTTTCTCAATTTCGAATAAAGACTTCTACCAGCGGCGGATTTAGGATTCCTTCTAGGGGGGGGCGATCCATCAGGGCCTCAGGCTCAGATAAGAAATAATAAAAAAACGACTTAAATATACAGAGTGGCAAAAAAGTCGCGTATAATACCTGTAACTTTCTAATTACCTCGTATACGAAAAAGTGACCTTAATGAAAGTTGCTCAGTAAATTAGGGACATAAAGCTTCCGTATTTTTTGCTCGGTATCCGTATCGGTATCGTACTGCGCATGTGCAGAAGCGATACGGAGGCCGAGATACCGTACGTACAACGTAACGTTACGGCCCTCTCGCGGTATCCGTATCGGTAACGTATCTTGACATTCCTGACGCATGTGTCAAATTTCAAATGAATATAACCTCCCTTTTCTTCCGGGTTGATTTAATTTGTTTAGTTTATACTTTCTTGAGTTTCTTGTGTGTTTAGTGCTTCTCTATCGCAAAAAAAATAACAATTTTAAGGTTAGATATAAAAACGCCGAAGTTTTGAGACAAAAATGTCTAGGTTATGAAATGCGTTTACGTTTACCGAAACAGGGAGCGCTTTAACAGCCTTTTCGCTTGTCAACGTATCTAGTTGCGTTACGGATACCGATACCGATAAATTATTTCAAGTAGCTTTATGTCCCTAATATTTCCCACAATTCTACTTAAACGTATTGCCTGTCACTTCTGGTTTGTTTGCTATCTAGACCAATTTTTTTTTTTTCAAATAAAACACCCTGTATGTGATTTCATATTTGGATTCTACGTAAAATTCTGAGCAGATTTCATGTGATATACCCTATACCTAAGTTCAACTGTTATGGAAATATTGACAGTTGAACATTGACTTTTTGCAACTTTGACAGGCTGTAAAACCTGAACGGTTAATTTCAGAGGAAAACCGATTTCACATTCCTATCTTAGATTTTCATAAACTATCATTTGACATCAACATTTAATTTAATCGGAGATTAAATTTAATTGGAATTTTCAATTATAGATTAAATTCAAAGTTGGTGCGGATTTACGTCATCCGCAGTCGATTCGCTCCCAGCTCGCTGCTGCCAAACGTATTTAAAAGTATTAAAAATTTGGAAAAATAGCAAAAACCATATGGAATTTCATGTTGGATAATGCTTGATGAATATGTTTGTGTTTTCGTTAAAAATTTCGTTGTTGCGTCGCTCAATAGGGGGGGGGCGCGCGCCCCCCGCGCCCCCCTCTAAATCCGCCACTGACTTCTACTTGCATATTTCGAACTTTCTTCGAGAATTTCTGAATGATTTAATTGTATTTTTCATGCAAAATACTGAAAAGCAGGGGTTAAAGGGAAAAACTGATTTGGCAACAAATTTCTCCACTGAACAACTCCATTAAAAAAATCACTTTCAAAAATATTCCCTGCCAACAATTCGCTACACTGTAATACAACAGCATCCTCAAAAGACCTTTTAATATCAGTTTTGAAGATGATAGACATGTCGAATGTTACTTTTCCCTTTTTGTGGCGCCTTTTGTTGCACTCTCTGGACAAGGACCAATATCACTTGTGAAGAAGGGCCTCCACAATGGAGAATTTTTCTGACACCGAAAAAAAGTGTTTATTTTCTATATAGAAACGAAATAAAGCTTTCCGTTTGTCCCCTCATAAAGCACTCTTGAAAAAAGGTAAACTCTGGAAAAGCATGTGCTTTATTTCTAAGCGTGATGTATTCCTTTTACTCGCCCGTTATTTACTTTGAGTGAGATTTAAGATTTCCTTGAAGAAATAATGGTCTGTTTAAAATAAACGTTTTCAATGAGTATTGGCAATCTGTTCAAATTCATATTCAGAAACTATATTATAATATGCTAATTCAACATTAAAAATTAATCTTCTGTAACTAAAATATCCACCGTGACACAGCCAAGCTCTTCTTCTTGGCAATACAAATGCATTGAGACCCTAAATTCTCCTTCTTGGGCAATTGGTAGGTCAAATTCGTCCTTTTTCATTTGGAAACCTTTCAAGGAATATGAGCCCTAGAAATAACACGATTCAGTAAAATATTTAGTTTTATATTTTTACTTACTGGATTTACTATACAAGAATCCTTCACAGCAGGCTCAACGGTCGTTTTAAGTCTGTCCCAGGCTGGTTTTAGGACTTTGCCCAATACTTCGCAAGCATTTCCATTTAAAGTTGTATACCTGATGTAATCAACTCCTGTTTTGTAGTCTACAGTGGCCTGATACTATGAAAATATTGCCATTTAGAAATGTTTGGGAAAATAGTTTTTTTTTTTAGACTTACAGTACAGTCTTTGTTGAAAACTTTGTCCAAGTTCACAGTGGCCGAAAGTGATTTTGAATCCTTAGAGTCTTCGACTAAACTGACTTCGTATTTTTGACCTGGGCCTTTGGTTGGACATCCTTTGATTGATAGGGCTGTAGCAGTGTATTCCTAAAATAATGTTTGCATGTACAATGAGAATGTTTGTTCAATAGTTAAATAAATTTCAACATCATTTATCTAATAAGTAAATTGCTCAACAATAATTAAAAATAGGTTTAATTGTAAATACATTGGATTGTCTTTTGTTAAAAGTTACCTGTCCAAAAGCCATTGACACGCTACAAAACAGCACAATTACGCGTCCCGAGTGAAACATACTGAAAAATTACCCAAAAAAATTCAAGGTGCCTTTTTATTCCACAAACAAATCGCATGTTAGTACAATTTTAATTTCAAACAGGAAAAAATATAATTTTTGTAACACCGAAATCCATGTAAACTCTAATAATAATCCGCAATTATGCTATTGAGGCGTGAAATGTTTGGCAGAAATAATGGGGCTTTACGTGACAATTGAATTTCGACCATATATAATCAAGTATCATTTAAAAATAAGCGTAAGTAGTTCATAAGTCTGCTTTGAAATGATTTTATTTGCTCTTTTTGCAATTGCAAGTGTGGTAAGTTTGAACACACAAAAGCCAAGTCCCATCATAGGTACCTTTATTAATTTTCTAGAACTCTTATGGCATTTTGGGAGCATCACCTACCATAAAAGTAACCAACATAGAAAAATGCGATACAGACGATGAGCCAGTTCCATGGAGCTTCGAAATATCAAATGTCGATGCTAATGCTTACAAAAAAGTCAATGCTGAATTTGACCTCAGCGACTTCGCATTCAATGATGAAATTTCAGTAAGCAAAACTACATAATTTAATGCTTGAAATAAATGTAATTTTATTTCAGTATACATTGGACGTGGATAAATTGAACGATGGAGATTGGAAGAAAGACATTTACAACGATGAAGGAAATTTATGCGATCTTATCAGGCAATACGTACCAAAAGCCTGGCAAAAATTAATGGGGGCTCTGCAACCAAGACCTATAGACATGTGTAATGCTCAAAAAGTAATATTTCAATATCCAAATTTTATTATTTAATTTAGATATTTTTATTTCATAGGCAGTTTATCGGTTGAAAAATTTCGAACTTCTAAGGCAAGATGTCCAACTACCAGCCTTTGACGGAAAACTTCGGACAACGTTGAGACTTTTCGATAAAGACGACAAAAACGTATTTTGTACTTCGACGGAAGTTGAAGTCAGTCGCTAAAAAACCTGTACAATTTCAATGACTTATACCATATCAAATATATTTCGTGCAAAATTTACATCCCCTGCCTCGCCTAATTTTCATACATTTGCATCCGGGAGAAGGGTTGCAAGGCAAGTCTCCGCATATCTGGAATTATTGAGTTAATTTCTGTCGTCCCGCCGGTATACAATTTCACCCTTATCCAGGGCATTAGCATTGTAAAATGACTAACGGGGAAGCTAGCTTTGGGGAATTTTGAGGACACAAATTGGAGTTTTTATGGTACAATTCTCACATTTTGAGAAATTTAATTATTAGGACAATCCTCTGAACTTTCATGAGTGTTCGAAAAGTTTTTAATATAAATCAGCGGTCTATAAGCATAATACATTGTACCTCTAAAGCAAAATATTACGAAGAAATGCAAGAAGTTAATGAAGTACCTACCTAAGTATTTATAGGGAAAATATACTATGCAATTTTCGTTCTCTTAAAACAAATTCACAAGAATTCCGATATAGAGAGTCAAACGCCCGCAGGGTAAATAAATTGGCAATCAACATCTCTTAAACAGCCCTTTAGGTCGGGCCCACCGCCCTCGCTTTGCCGCTATAGCCTTTGACGGAAGACGCCCTTTGCAAAAAGGTCCCGGTGCAATTTCGATTTCGGGAGAGCAAAAGTGTTTCCCAATTTTTGTTCACTCAAATTGCCTTTTAGCGCAGAGAAATGTAACTTTTATCTCTACGAGAATTGAAAATGGAAAATTTTATTGCGTTTAATGGAAAATCACAACTATGGATGAAACGCGTCGGAACCGCCCAGGCAGGAGTTTCCATTTCCCAGTTTTCACAATGGAACGTGCGGTATCTCGTTATAACAATTATGTCGGATGCGAAATAGTCCAGCGGAGCGTATTCATAACCCTTTTGTCATGTCGAAGCTGGATGATAATAATAGATATATGGCTATATATTCTGTTAGAGGTAACATTAACGAATAACTGCGTCACGTAATGAACATTTTGATATAAGCTTAATCAACCAAGACCTTAATTTTGTATGTGTAAATTGGAGTTATATTAGGAAGAAGAAGAAGAAGAAAAAGAGTTATTGAAACGGAGTTAAAATAGCCTTTAGTTATTGTAAAAAACAATAATGAAATAATAGACTTATGATGTTAACTGTTCTTAAATGAACAACACAAAAAAAATTTATTGAAGATGTTCTTCTGTTTTTTTTTTGGGTCGATCTTCGCGTCAACGACAGCGTTAGTCCAGCGAAAAAGTTATTTTCCCAAGTAAAATTACTAACAATTCCTCTGTTAGGTGGTGTAACCTTTGATTAGGATTTCAGGAATAAAATCAAGGTAAAAATTTCCATTATTTGCTTGTTTTTTCCTGAGAAACTATAGGTTAGGTTCAAGAGTAAACATGTGTGATAACTCTGGGGTGGGGGCCCATCAGGGCCTCAGGATCCTGGCATTAATTTAAATAATATTCACAATTCCCATTATAATTTTGAAGCTGAACAAATTAAAAATAAGATTATACATAAATATGGTACTCACTCTTTAGGTCCATTCCAGGTGATAGTACAGGGTCCATCCGGGAAAAATGTGGGTCAATTACTTCCTATGGCAATTGCTGAATTTATATATGATTTGAAATTAGAAATCTAAGCGGCCCCATGAAAAAAGGAAATAATAAAATTATTATTGAGTTTAAAACCCCAGAATCTGCCAATAATCTATTACAGAATAAACAATTACTAGTAAGGAATATATTGTTTATATTCCAGAGTATCTAGTAACGTGTAAAGGTATAGTGAGAGGAATTTTGAAAGAAGCTGATACGGAAGATATTATTAAAAATTCTCAAGGCTCATTAGAATTTTGGAAGTCAAAAGAATCAGAAACGACAACAACGAAGTTGAATATGTGAAAACTGGGTCTTGTTTGATTACATTTAAGGGAAAGTTCTTTCCACGATCAGTCATCGTCTTTGGACTGGAGACTCGAGTGGAAAACATAATGCCAGTAAATCAATGTTTCAATTGTCTAAACTATGGTCAGTATCGTGAAAAAGAAAAATGCCAAAAATGTGGTAAGTTGGCTCATGAAGGTCAATGTACCTGTAATTGTAAGAATCAAGAGAACCATACCTGTAATGGAAGGGTTAATTTCTTGTGTCATTTGCGACAGCTCAGATCATACATCAATAGATAAAAGTTCCCCCGAATACATACGTCAGGCACAAATCAGGCAATCATTGGATAATATGTCTTTCTTTCAGGCAAGTGAATTGGTACCAAGGGTTAATAAAAATAGCAAATTCCTAACGAAACAAAGTGAATTTCCCCCTCTTCCGACCAACACGAGACAAATCCCTAATTTTACTCCATTAAACCAAAACAGACAGATCTTTCAGGAAACCAAGAGAAAACAAATTATATAGAAAACAATTCAACCATCATAGCAGTAGATTTTCAGTCGCGAAAAAAAGGAAATTAACAGTTACCCCAATGAAAGGTTGTAATCATCCGGGAAAAATAGACCCGTAATTTATAATGTCTTACCTGTAAAAATCATCATTTGAACTCGTAAATAAAACCCCGGAAAAGATCAATTACAAGGTTAGGCACCTAATTATAAATTGGATCCAAAATGACAAAAATTTCGAACAAATTACATCATCCTCTATATGAAGAAGTTATATTTTTGGAGTAATATTTAGGTAGACCAATACAATTGAATTATAGATGATCAAACGACCGCCTATATTGTCGATTTTGGTGGGTAATTAATAATATTTTGGAATCGAAAAATATAAATACAGGGATTTTAGAAGATCAGATCAGTTGTTAGTTCAGTCTAGTTGAGTTTAAGTTCAGTCCTCACATCAATCCAGTTGTACAGTTCCTATAATGAGTCAGTCCGGATAAAATTCGCGAAGAGTTTCTTTTATTTTGGTGCCTCGGGAAAACGCGTTTAATTGAATCTTTGAAAAAGTAACGGAAAATCGTAAAGATTATTTAAATTCGTTCAATGTTATGTGCGTGCTCTACCTGATTTTCTTGAAGTAAATTAATTAAGTATTTTATCGAGTGACAATTTAAATGTAAGTACTTTAGTGACTTTTATTGTTTTTTTTTTTTCACTTTAACAATGATTCAGAATGATAAGAAGTGAATTGACATTGAACTTTAATGCATAAAAACTTGAGTGATTTGACTGTAAAAACTGTATTGCATAAGTTTAATTGCCTTCGAGTATAATGACATTTTAATTAATTTTGCAAGGAATTAACAAAGGAAAATTATAATGCTCTTAACAATATTCGATTTTGAGTAGGAATTATTAAAGAATTTTGAATTGGATTGTCCAATTGATGTTTAAGGGCTATAGTAACGAACTAATAAGAATTTAAATAATTGTGTTTGTTGGCTAGGAATACGAAAATAGTAATTGTTCTGATTAAATAAACCATTAAATGAAATGGGAAGTTTCGAAAAGAAACTTGTTGTTCATGAAATGAGATTGTTGACGTTAATCATTAAAAGTAATGGAAAGCTTAGTTTAAAAACTGTTGTTCTTCTGAAATAAAATTGTTGTCGTTAATTATTATGTTTTTCAAGAAGTAACATTGATGACCTTATGTGCTGAAATTTTGATTTAGGGTTTTTTTTTTTTTCATTTAGAAATTATTCTAAGGTTTTTATAAAAATATATAGTTGATAATACATATGTACTTAATCCAGTGAGTAGGATTATGACTTAAATAATTATTTTGCATAAGCTGTCAGTAAATGACTTAGGAGTTTTAAGAATTTATAGATATAGGTGAAGGGTAGTTTTAATAGGAATGTGAATCGGAAGTGTTGTATGAAAGAGTAAATGTATAAACTTATAAGTTATTAAGAATAGGAAGAAGTAGGGCGTTTTTAGTATGGATATTTCCTGGTCCGTAGTAACGAAATTTGAACGGATGTGAAATAAATTGATTTAGGAAAAGTAGAAGTAGCTGTCAGACATAGAAAGATATTTGCTTTATTTTAATTTTGGTTTTAAGTATAATAAAATATAATTTAGTAAACCTCAATAGTTTGTTTCTCTCTTTTGCGAATAGACCACCTCCACAATTTTATAGGTAGCCGCTCAAGGAAATAAACACCATCAATATACCGCTCACCATTTACCATCTAACTAATTTAAAAGAGTACTTGGGCGAGTTTTGCTACAAGGCTATGATATATGGAAGTAAGTAAGCAATGCCTGTTTTCCCAATCAACGAGACTTAGTGCAGGATCACTACAAAATTTCTCTGGAAATGTCAGTGCGAGTATTCCGGAATCGTCGGTGAGGAAATTTCCCTCTTCCGTGACTGAAGATTTTATGAGAAATTCACTATTTAACATCATAGGTAACCTGAAGGTAACAGACCTTCAGCTAGCTCACAATTACTTGAAAGATATAACAAAAGGAAATGATCCCTCTATATGGAATGGATGATTGAAAAAAATCAAAAATGTCCAGCATCACAAATAGGATTTAGGAGGGGAAAAGGATGTAGGGAATGCCTAGCCTATTTAACCCTTAACAAACAAGGGAATTTTCAGAGGAAACTTAAGTCATTGGTGGTATTCTTGGACAATAAAGGAGCTTATGACCATGTCAATATTTATCACCTTTATAAAACAATGGAAGACTTGGAGATCTCCCCAACTATAAAAAATTGGATTTTTGAATTTCTAACCAATCGCAAAGTATTCATTAGGGACAGAGAGAGACTCTTGAGGGCCCCGAAAGAGATCTCAACTGGACTAGCGCAGGGTTCGCCACTGAGTCCAATTTTATTTAATATTCACGCGAGGGGCCTACATGATAAATTTTAAGGACGGATCAAAATTATTCAATATGCAGATGACTTTACACTATTCATAGAGGGAATTGATGTGTATGAAATGGTTAGTGAAATTAACCTGGCAATGTCTGAAATTTCAACTTGGTTCGGAGAACTAAATTTTAGGATTTCTGCCAGAAAATCGGCTGGCATGTTGGTAGAAACTAGATCACACACAGCTCCACAACTTTCATGTTATTTACAGAGACGAAAGAATCCCATGGGTCAGAGAATACAAATATTTGGGGGTGATTATCTCAGACAATCTCAACTGGACAAAGCAGATTGAAAACATGTCAGTTAAGGCTGGAAAACCTATCAATGTAATCAAGAGTCTAACCAGACTGTGGTGGGAGGAGACCCCAGAACTTTACTAATTACTACAGATATATAAAGGAATAATCAGGACACACTTGGACTATGGGTCTCAGTTCATTAAACCTACAACTAAAAAAAATAAAACAAAATTGGATACCATACAATTTCAGGCGTTAAGGGTGGTATTGGGTTGTATGCGTTCAACCCCAACGAATCTACTGCTCGCTGAGTCTGGAGAAGAATTACTAGAATCAAGAAGAATATGGGTTAGTCAAAAAATGCATTATTAAAAATATCAAGTTCAGGATTAATATTATAATTGACTTAATAAAGGAATTTAGATTAATGGGTAGAAACAATGGATACTTGCTAATATTGGGAGAACATTTCTTAAGATCCCTTATCCGATCCTATTGGATGTCAAGGAATATATTCCGGAGTTTAAGAGGAAGCATAAGCGAATTTGGAAGGGATACTGGAAGAACTCATCAGGAAACAAGGGCATTAAGTACAAACAATATGTAGGATCGTTTCTTGATGAACCCTGGTTCAACAATCTGGAATATTTGGACAGAAGACATGTAACGACAATCTTCAGAATTAGGACGGGTCAATGCCTAACTCCCGCACACCTTCATAGACTGGAGATAAAGGACTCTCCGGAATGTGAATGTGGGGAGGTGGGAACATTGGAACACTTGGTTTTTGAATGCCAAAGCCTGCAACCTAACCTATAAGATATATTCATACAAAATGGGGTCCAAACCACAATTTCAATTGACTTAGTCATATCCAATCCTAAGGTAAGAACAAACAAACTAATTTTGGACTATCTTAGAGCAAATAATATTGAATTGTAGAATCCTGGAATCTTAAAATCTTTCTTTGTCAACTCCCTTCAGAATATGTGAAGATTGTGAAGGTGTTTCCTATGTGTGTGATATCTTACAAACAGTCGCGAACGGGAAGGATAGAAAGGAAATATTAATCGAACAGACAAGAGAGAATTAAGGAAATCGAGAGAAACAAATCTACGACTCCTACGTAGTTTGCTGGAAAGGGCGGTTGCGAGCCGGTCGTCCCTGGACAGCGCCAATAGATGTGGCTAGATACCTAAGAGAAGAAGCCAAAACAAAGTCAAAAAAAAAAAATGTTCCGTATAGGCGTAAAACTGAATATAGTATAAAAAAACTACAATATCTTGAAGTTTTTTCCTTTAACTGCAGATTGCTCATTACAATTATAATGATTTTGCAATACATTCTTGAATTCAAAGTTATTTTTCTTTTTTGTCATATTTATAGCTTTAGTATAGCTCGGTTTCTCAATTTCGAGAAGCTTTGCCTCTGGGTTGGTTTTAACTCCAGGGTAAACGTGCCTAGTTGCAACGTTTACCTTGAAGTTATGCCTAACCCGGGACTTGCTATTGAGAAACCGGCCCTATGTAATATAATATAAACTTAGGTATTCATGGAATGATAATTTGGATCAAGTCCTGAAAATTCTCATTCATCGTAACAATAATGTGGTTAAATATAGTCTTTTTTGATCCTAATTTTGACTTAAAAATGAGAATGAGGATTCTTTCAAAGACTATTTTCAATCAATCGAAAAATTCTTGATGCTGATACCGATGGGAAAGAGCTCAGCTCAGAAACGTGAATCAGTCAAATTTCAAATTGAATGATTATGGGCGAGTATTATAAAACTACTTTGAGAGTTAACTTAAAGTTAACTGCTGGAATTGCATGTAATTCAAAAAGTTAACTTCAAGTTAACTGTCAAAGCAGTTTTATAATACCCGCCCTATGAAGTAAACTTACTTTACTCAAATTTTAAGACACTCCAATAGATTCTTTCATGACAATTTTTGGGATACTTTCAAATATTTTAAAGACACTGATGTCATTTTTAATAAAATCGAATAAATTGAGACAAAACACTTTCGCAAACTCAAATGACTTTCATTTCCGCGTTTGATTCGAATATTCAAAATCTACTTTACGAGCAAGAATTTCTAGTCCTAATTAAGGAGCGAACTCGAAATTTAAATAGAAAATAATAATTATTACAAGGATTTCATGCAAAGAGAAATAAATTAGTTTTGCCAGAGAACACGAGGCTTTGAAGTCAAACAATTATTTGTTGATCGTTCTACTGAAAGCACAGTGTAAAATGTTATTTGTATCTACACAATGTACAGTTTCGAACTTTGATAATTTCGTTATTAGAACGATTTTTTTGAACTGAGAAGGAAAGTCGTGATGAATAAAGTAATGTCAAACTTTGGTATTGTACAGCAATACCTACTATTTTTGTTTGAGAGTCATTGCAAAATGACTTGGAATTTAAAGAAACTTTATGAAAATGAGAACACTGAGTGAAGTTATCAATTAGAATATCTTGAAGAAAAATCATAGTAATACAAGCGTTTTGGTAGTCATTTTAATCTTATAACTTGCTTTGGTATGCTTTGCGTATTCCACTAACGAACTGATGAATTCGAATCCCGCTCTGTAGCTAGTGACATTAAATTTCTTTTCATGATCCAATAACTAAGCGCTGTATAGTATACAACCTTAAGGCAATAGAGAAAAAAAAACGCTGTGTATGAAAAATAAACATTAAGCTAATTGATAGTGCATAAGAAAACAACACGCTCATTGTAAAAACCAATCCATAAACTTCGATATTATAATAAACCTTTTCAAAGAGCTATATTTATTATGACACAAATTGTTAAAGCCACATTACGAATCACGTGTTCTATAATTTATTTTTTTCGTGAATACAACAGTAAATTTCGAATGGGGCAACGTGGAAAAACAAATAACAATCGGGCGTTTTATTTTAAAAAGCGATTAATCCATCGGCAACAATCTGGGCAAACATGAATATTTTTCCCATACTTATGGTATTTAAGTGTTTAAGTCTGAGTTATTCATTCAAGCTTCCGATTGATTTATGTAGGAAAAATGCAATTTTAGTGTTAATTATAATAATTTTCAGCACATAATCATTCGGAAAAGAGAAATTATGTAGTTGGTGCCTAATATAAAGTGGCCAACATTTAAAAAAAAAAACTCAGTCATAGAATAAATATGATTTCTATTTTAGTTTCAGCAATCACTTCAACTTTATTCTTATCATTAACTGTAAGTAATTTCCGAAAAATTATATAAAATTTTAAATATATGTATGTAATAATTTTAGGACGCCGATCACGTTGAATTAGTATCTCTAAAAGAATGCGCTCCATTATCAGTACCAAGTTGTAATTTTTATGTTAATTTCAATGAAAATGAACAAATCATAAGATTCCATGTTGGAGAAGTTATTGATTTAAATGACTTCGAGGTAATTAAAGTTTTATGTAATAACTGAACATCTAAAATGTCAGTTTTACAGGTGCATACAACAGTTTCAATTAAACGCAATGGCGAATATCAACAAATAATATCGTTTACTAAAACTCTATGCAGTCAAATGGTGCACATTTTAGGTGCAGAATGGGAAAAAATTAGAGCCGAAATTCAACCACCCATCGAGGATTCATGCAAAATTGAACCAGTAATTATTATAGTAAATTGTTTTCCAATTTTTACTCAATTAATACTTTTTTTAGGGTACATACAAACTGGAAGCCTTAAATATGCAAGATATGGATATAAGCGCCATACTTAATATACTACCAAAAGGAGAAATCAAATTGGATACTGAAATTAGATGGCAAGAAGATTTTGTGGTGGCTTGTTATGTAGTCGAGCTGATAAATGATTAAATTTCAGTAGTTTTTGTATAAAATGGGAAATAAATGTTAAGTCTTGGCAGCAATCACTTCAATGCAAACAAAAATCCATCCTGAATAATATATAGTTGGAGCCCCATGTGCTAACAAAACAGTGGCGTATAGAGTAGCTGTATCTTATAGTTCTGTTGAAATTTTTTTTTCGTCCTCGCTACGCTACTGGCATAATAAAATCCATTATTTTTCCTCGAATAGCCCCCAAATCGGCAATATTGACATATTAGTCATAGTTTAGTAAGTTTGTCTTAAAAGAGGGTGCTTCTTGCTATATATAGGAAATTACACCAGACAGACCTCTGGGAAATGTATTTTCTTTGGAAAAATTTCCTAGGTCAGTAATAATTATCAGTCTTTAGATCAATAATTATTATTGTTGGACTAATCTAATACTAATTTGCGTTAAAATCAAATTAACTCTGTCCTAGCACAAAGACAAATACCATTTCCATGGTCACCGCATATGTGCAACCACACATATCCAAAATTGGATATGTAACGTTGTAACCGCAGCAGCGCTAACAACGTTACACGGCAATTTGTACGTCCTTTGTCCGTCAGTGGGCCTCGTGTCAGTGTAATTTCTATCAAAGGGCCGGGCAATTACGAGCTGAGTGACTCAATTTTGAACCAGGAACCTATGGATGAACTTAATTACACTTTTATAAAATAAATAATTGTATTCTCAAATCCAGACGGATATAAGCAGCTGAAACTAAGATATTTTATAATCACCAGGAGTTCAGATTAGTCACTATAAACTGGACAAACCCCAATAATTAAATGAAACTACCCTTACTATTGGTTAAAGGACAAGTATTAATGCAAAATCATTTCATTTTCAATAATCAAGTCTTCTTTCCAGACTCAATTATGATCATGGTTTCTAGATTCACATCTGTGACGCATCCAGAAGGTTGTTGATACTCTACATTCAATTTCAATTTTAGGTATCCACCAATCTAAATGGATGAAAAAAGATCCAATGGTTCTTCTAATAGTCATAATAGGTATTTCTTGACTGTTATTTGATGGGACTATGAGAAGTTAAGTTAGCTTGGTCTACAGTTACGATGCTGTGTGCTTCTAATCTAACATTTCTAGTTGTCTTGATCTAAATCCACAAAAATTCATTTTTCGTTATGGTGGATTACTTCTAATAGGTAAATTAATTTCTCCAGCATTTCTGTTTCGGGGCAAAATTCCTATTTCCTTGAGTAAGGTACCTATTATGTTTATCATCAGTGTAAAAGCGTTTTGATCATATTTTTGATTCCCTTTTTGTACATTTTTACATAATATATCTACGTTTCAGTTTTGCCTATTTTATTTGCTCGTGAGGAGTAAGGTCAGGTTCTGATACTCTTGACTTTTTTGTTCTCGTGAGTATTTTTTACTTCCACTTCATTTTTGGGCCAGTATCAGAATCTAGAATATTATCTTCTTTATTGGATCTCTTAATATTCTTCTTATCAATAATTTTCAATTTCCATATTAATGAGGATTTGAAGCTCGAATTGCTCGAGGTGAAGTTGGTTCAAAGAAAGCGCTACAAATGGCCTCCTAAAGTCTGTTTTTTTTCTAAAGATAATTCCCCAAGTCAAAAATTTAGTAACTAGGTTGGCAACACAAGCCTTTTCTACATAAAAAATTTGAAAGCATTGACAATTTTACATTGTATTGCCAACATAATGTCATTTTGTCTTTTATCTTTAAAAAAAAACAGATTTTACATAGATTTATTAAAACTGTCAAAGTTGAGGTGCTTTCGTTTTGCTACCTCATAAAAGAGGCTGTAACCAATGAACTATAGCAAAAAACTGGAATGCGCACACATTGCCATATCTGCCAAAAAAATGAAGCCATGAAAGACAGATGCCACAAGGGGGAATTTTGTTTTTTTCTGTTGCTCGCTAACATATGACGTTTTCGAAAGTTTTGTCATATTTCCCTTCACAGGTTTCATCAATTGGAATACGTGTAGGAAGCAATTTTCGCCATTTAACATAATGAGTGCGACAAAAACAGGTATCCCCTCCGCAGCAGCCGCACTAGGCTTCAAGTTCGTCCTTATGTGTTAGCATTCCAGTTTTTGGTTATAGTTCATTGGCTGTAACTCAACGAAAAGGCTACACTTGGATATAATTATAAACGTCAAAGTTAACGAGTTAACAGTGTTTTTATTTTTGAGTGAAGAATTTTATCATTTTTGTCTCAATTATTTGTCTATTCCAGGCTCTTGAGCCCTTCCCAGTTTTTTTAGTTTTTCAATTCAAGAACCGAGAATAGGAAATAGTTATTTACTACTTACTTTATTAAATGTCTTTTCCACCCTCGACGGCTTGCCCGAACTCCGCTCCGCGTCGTTCGTGCAACTGCCGTCTCGTGCGGAAAAGTACCACTTTCCGCAAGAGTTAGGTACAATATTTTTCCTACGAGTGTTTTTGTCCATCTTATTTATCAAAAAAAATGTTTCCAATACGCAAAGATTTTATAATGATGGTACAAAAGAGCACATAATATAAAATAATATATAACAAATCATTTATTTGATCCTAAATATCTTCATTTTTAGTAATAAAAAAATCGTGCGGAAAAGTAACTTTTCAGCACTAGTGCGGAAAAGTGACTTTTCCGCACGATTTTACTTTTCCGCACGATTTTTTTATACACAAAAAAATAATGGAACCGGATTTTTTTATCATGATCCTTGGCCTAAGTATATCTAAATTGGCCAAAAAAATTGTTAGGATCCCCCACCCTCGCGGGGCTATGCCACCTAAAATAGGGGGCCCTGCGGGGCTGTGCCCCCAAGTGAGGGGCCCCCGCGGGGCTTCGCCCACCAAATAAAGAGCTTCGCCCTCCAAAAGGGGCCCAGGGCTCCGCCCCCCCAAAAAGGGCCCCCAGGGCTCCGCCCCCCCCAAAGGGCCCCCAGGGCTCCGCCCCAAAAAGGGGCCACTGCGGGACTGTGCCCCTCAAAAATGGGGCCCGCGCGGGACGGTGCCCCCAAATAGGGGGCCCCCGAACTTTAATATGGGTACACTTTTCAGTAAAAGTAAAAGTCGTGCGGAAAAGTAAAAAAATAATGCGGAAAAGTAAAATCGTGCGGAAAAGTACAACTTTCAAACGAAAAATCGTGCGGAAAAGTAACTTTTCCGCACGCTCGTAGGAAAACTATTAATTTTGTCCCGACTTTTGTCTATTCCAGGCTCTCAAGCTGAAAAATCAAGAATTCATAAGCTGTCTCTGTCCCTGATGGTTCAGAGGAAGCGCTACGAATCGCCAGCTAAAGTCTGTTTTTTTTTTAAAGATAATTACCCAAGTCAAAAATTTAGTAACTATGTTGGCAACACAAGCCTTTTCTCAATGAACTATAATCAAAAACTGGAATGCTAACACATAAGGACGAACGTGAAGCCTAGTGCAGTTGCTGCGGAGGGGATACCTGTTTTTGTCGCACTCATTATGTTAAATGGCGAAAATTGCTTCCCACACGTATTCCAATCGATGAAACCTGTGAAGGGAAATATGACAAAACTTTCGAAAACATCATTATGACAGCGAGAAACAGAAAAAAACAACATTCCCCCTTGTGGCATCTGTCTTTCATGGATTCATTTTTTTAGCAGATATGGCAATGTGTGCGCATTCCAGTTTTTAGCTATAATTCATTTGCCTTTTCTATATAAAAATTTGAAAGCATTGACAATTTTACATTGTATTGCCAACAGAATGTCACTTTGACTTTTATCTTTAAAAAAAAAAAGATTTTATATTTTTTGGAACTGTCAAAGTTGAGGTGCTTTCGTTTTGCTGCCCGAGACTTATTTAAAAAGTGTGGAGTGAAGTTACTCTAAATGACACTATTTTTGTTGCACTATAAAATATCCACATGATAGAGGGTGCAACTTAACGAAAACGCTATAATTGACATGACTACTTAAAATGTCAAAGTTGAAGGTTTTTTTTCTTTTCGATGTAGAACATAATCATATTTGGGGTCTAGAACACATTAGGTCCCTAAAAACGGACAATTTTTCTATGTTCAAATTGGCATTGGAGCAATTATTAGGACATAATGAAGAAAAAAAAATATGGATGAGTTCATTTTTTTGATAAACAATATATTGTTTAAATATACAGGGTGTCCTAAAAAGATGACGACAAACTTTAAAGGGTAGTAAGGGACATCAAAACAAAAAACAAGCATTTTTGTTTATATAAACATACTAGCTGACCCGGCGAACTTCGTACCGCCTCTGAATTATTAAAAATACCTATTAAATATTGTGTTAACGTATCTGTTAGCTGAATTAAATTCAGTTTTTTTCGATGGTGAATTTGGCTTTGGTTGAAGAAAATTAATGTTTACTCTCTGGATCAGAAGGCACCTAAAATAAAAATTTTACATCATCCTTTTTTAGGCAGCTTGTGGGCATTATTCTTGTAAAGTGTACCACCAAATAAATAAACTCAGGCACAGGAATGTTCAAAGAATGTAAAGAAAACAAAAAAAATCTCTAGCGCAGCCCTATTTCACTCTATCTGCACTGCACTACTCCATCTGTTCTACTCTATCTGCACTACTCTATCTGACCTACTCTTTCTGCACCACTCTATCTGATCAGAATAGTGGAATAGTTGATAAATATTCAAGGATCCATATTTTTTTTCTTGCTAACCATCTTGAAATTGCTTTGTTTATCATTAATAATCAAAATCATATTAAAAATCAAAGGGACCTAAAGTGATCTATCACCAAGAAAACTATTAATTGTATCTCGACTTTTCTCTATTCCATGCTCTCAAGCTGAAAAATTCAAGAATTCATAAGCTGTCTCTTTTCCTGATGGTTCAAAGAAAGCGCTACAAATGGCCTACTAGAGTTTTTTAAACTGTAGAGTTGAGGTGTCTTCATTTTGTTGCTCGCCCCAGATTTGAAAAGTGTGGAGTGAATTTAATCCATATGACTCTATTTTTGTTGCACTATAAAATAACCACATGACAGAGGGTGCAACTTAACGAAAACGCTATAATTGACATGACTACCTAAAATGTCAAAGTTGAAGCTGTTTTCTTTTCGATGTAGAGCCTAATCTTTTTGGTCTCAATTATTTGTTTATTCCAGGCTCTTGAACCCTTCCCTGTTTTCTTTAATTTCCAATTCAAGAGCCAGGAATAAGGAAACTATTAATTTTGTCTAGACTTTTGTCTATTTCAGGGTCTCAAGCTGAAAAATTCAAGAATTCATAAGCTGTCTCTGGCCCTGATGGTTCAAATAAAGCGCTAGAAATGGCCTACTAAAGTTTTTTAAGCTGTCGAAATTGAGGTGCTTTTGTTTTGCTGCCCGAGACTTAATTGAAAAGTGTGGAGTAAATTTACTCCGATTGACTCTAGTTATGTTGCACTTGAAATCACCATATAAGAGAGGGTACAACTCAACGAAAACGCTATAATTGACATGACTACTTAAAATGTTAAAGTTGAGGTGTTTTCTTTTCGATGTAGGAGTTTCATCTTTTTTGTCTCAATGATTTGTTTATTCCAGGCTCTTGAGCCCTTTCCTGTTTTCTTTAGTTTTCCAATTCAAGAGCCGAGAATAAGAAAACTATTAATTTTGTCTCAAGTTTTGTCTATTCCATGCTCTCAAGCTGAAAAATTCAAGAGTTCATAAGCTGTCTCTGTCCCTGGTGGTTCAAAGAAAACGCTACAAATGGCCTACTAGATTTTTTCAAACTGTCCAAGTTGAGGTACTTTCGTTCTGCTGTCCGAGACTTATCTGAAAAAAATGGACTGAATTTACTCTCTGATGTGAGTTCTTTTTGCTTTGCAGACGAATTTTAAAAAATCAACCAATCAAAGCACAAGACTGACAGATGTCAAATGTCATTAACGCTCCCTTAGGGCCAAATTATGGACTGACTGGTAAACTTCTGGCTGTTACCTAGGAGGTACTTTCTATGCACTAGAGAATAGAAAGTACCTGCTAGGTAACAATCAGACACTTACCAGTTGGTCCATAATTTGGCCCTTAAGGTAAAATATGAACTAAACTGTGGTTTTATAAACGGAATACTAGCGCAACAAAATTAAATTACATAATTTGTTTTGTGATTTTTGTGTATTTTTTTTTTTCTTGCATTAAAAAAAATTGTTTTTTCAGTTTAAAGTGGGCAACTTTTTCTTTCAGAGTAGGAGTAGGCAATGCCCACTCTGCCCCCCCCCCCCCCCTAGCTACGGGCATGTGTTGATAGAGACATTATTATCATTATTATCACCTGTCAAAAGATGAATGTGGAACCCTATCCGAAATCTTCAGAAAAAAAACCCAATTTGAAGCTAATTTTTACATATTTTCAACCCATAAGGGCCATAACTGCCCTAAAACCAAACCGTACAAACTTTAGTTTAGCGGTCGGTTAACCAATGATAATTATTATAATAAGTCAACCATAAGCTAAGCTACATAACCTAACCACCCACTGATAAACCGGTCCTAAATAGTCTAAACTGTTGAATATTTCAGTATTTCAATGTCATGAAATTCTTGAAAATTATAAAAGGAAATCAACTGATCAACTTTTATAACTGTAAAGCATTGGAGAAAAAAAACATTGATGAAGTAATGCTGGGTTTATACAGGAAATAAAATAACATAAAATAAGAAAAGAAATAAAATAAAATTGAAAGATTGCCTTATAAGAAGCCTCGGTGACATTTATACACAAAAATAAAATAAGATAAGAAATAAGCAAACATAAAAAGTTGGTTAACTTTCAACTTCTTATTTTATTTTATGTGAAAATGCTATTTGCGCATGTCACGACGTAGATTAGATTAGAACCATGACAGTTCAGGCGTGTGGTGATTGGTTCAAAATAATTCTAATTTTATTTGATATATTTCTGTATAAACGCCTTATTTCTTATTTTTCTTATTTCCTATGTTATTTCTTATTTTATTTTATTCTATTTCCTGTATAAATCCAGCTTTAAAATTAAAAAAAAAAAGTATCGCCCCCGGGTGGGCTCGAACCACCAACCTTTCGGTTAACAGCCGAACGCGCTAGCCAATTGCGCCACGGAGGCTATGGTAACTGTACATAATACGCCGTATATTTACTCAAGAGCTGCATATATATTATTTTACACCTATTTTATTTTATTTTTTAAATATTAAAACTTAATCTTTATAGGCAAAATCACACATAAAACACACTAAAAAAAAATTACGAAGCCGCAAGGTGAAACAATCTTTCACTAATTTTATTATTTTACAATAATTCCATTACATTACAAGAATCTTTATAGTGTCTTGAGAGCAAAAACAAAATAAATAATAATTATTAAAAAAGTTTAAAAACTAAAATTGAATTATAAAAACATTAAAAAATAAAAAAAAGTTTGTCTCACCGTGACAATGCTTGCACATTGCCGTGACCAGGATTCGAACCTGGGTTACTACGGCCACAACGTAGGGTCCTAACCACTAGACGATCACGGCTATTGAGACATGTTAACAAATTTATCCGAACGTCTACACTACTTACTATACGGTTACAGATCAATGATGATATGGTACAATAATGTATAAATAAATTTTGTATTGTTAATGTTTATATTATTCAATTAATGTAATTAATTTAGTGGAAAAAGTTTATCGCAAGCAAAATCGTTGTGTTTTTATTATTAACTGAATAAAAGTTTGATGTATTGGTCTTTTCAGGAGAATTTGACAACGTTGCAGGCAGTGAACCTTCTCTTCTCAGTTCAGGAGCCTCCAGGCTAAAAAGGCCTCTATTTGGTTTGAATTAGAAATCCCTCCTCCTATTTAATTAAATAATTTGTTTTTATTGATCAACTATAAACTATATGTTGTAGAAAAACAATCACTCATGAAAAACACTAAATTTTTGGTACCAAGTACCATCAGAAGTCCCACCAAAACCTTCAGCCTTGGTTGGACCCAAGCGAAGAAACAAACCTCGACCTTTTCCATCTAGTTTTACCTGATGGTACCTGAAGAGCGAGTAGGTACTTCGGCCGCCACAGCGGTTCCTCTTTTGTTGTCTTCGATCATGTGCTGTTGGTACTGCTTAAGATTCTGTACCATTTAACCGGCGCGATTGTTTTGATTTTTACATAATTTCTCCATTGTGAGTTTTATTAGGTTTATTGACTTTATATTATTCTGACAGTTTGGAACTGTATATTTGTAGGAAAAATGTAAGTTTGGGATTTTCATTATTTAAATAATAATTAAATAGCAGTACCTATAATCAGGCATTAGCAGACCTTATTCCTAAACACCTCATAAGTTTGATGATAGAAAAGTACCTACCATATCCTCTAATAAAGATTTAAGCGAATCAAGAAACAGAGAAATAGAAAATAAGCAAAAAGTAAAAATTTAACCTAACCTCCTAGTAGTACCCCAACCCAAATGCCCAAAGTAACATAATGGGCGTGGTTTATTAGTGGTACCATTTAAATTAGTAGTTTTGTTGGTTGCCTACCTAGCAAACATATTATACAGGATGATACTTTTTTATCGAAGGAATTGTTATATAAATTATTGTCTTTTTCTTCTGTTTAAGTTTTTCCGGTGCAAAAGATGGGGTCACGTGTAGGGGGACTCAATACAGCCGGTCTTCCCGCAGATAAAGCTCTAGCAGGAGTACCAAGACTACTAGATGATCTTCAACGACTATGCGAAGACACAGATTCTGCTGACATCGTATTCCTTTTGGGTAGAGATGAGGAAAGAGTGTATGCTCACCGTGTGATTCTAATGGCCAGGTATAATACCAAGAATAGAAACACAATTCGCAAAAGTTTTACATTATTCTTTATTTCCTTTGTCGCTCTTTAATAATGGCTACCTATCGTGCGATGTGTTTCGCAAACATTTGAGTGGCCCTTATGAAAGCGCTTATACTCGCAACAGCGGAAAACGCGGCATATTTAAGTCCTATTCGTTGCGTTACCCTTTGTGTAAAGCCGCCACTGTGAAAATCCCCTCATGATTTGAGTTTGCAGACGAATATTTCCACGTACTTTTACTTATAAAAAAAATATATTCCAAAGCCATCAAAACATTACGTTCTTTTTATTTTTCACCCTGAAAAACCGTAAAAACTAATTAAGGTTATCAGAGGGTGTTGTCAATAGGCTCTAGGGCATCACCGACACCATCAAGCCGATTTTCCGACTCAATTTCCCAGAGAAAAAAAAATGTCACCGTCCGTCACGTGCCGGATATTTGCTTATCTGACCGATATTACTTTTTGCCTCAAACAGAAATGAAACAACTCACATCTAAGCTAATTAAAAAAAATATACCTACATTGTAATGTGAATGTTAAAACCACTTAAAATCATATCGAGCATATAGCCTCTCAAAAACACAAAGCCAACAATGTGCTTATGGTTCTCCTGCATGTATGTCTCCTCCAAAAAGGGATCAAAGAGAAAAAATAGCCAATTTGACATTAAAGCCAAGTAGTTCTTCAGGTTGTCTGTAATTAGCATCATCGCAGGAGAAAGCTTCCACGCAGAAAGCAATATTGTTAAGTAGGGGACACAAAGCACAATATAGAGCCTTTGATGTACCGTCTAACGAATGGATGGTGCGCTTTGATTATACTTGTTTAAGTTGTTTTCAGAGCAACAACGTTTTTACAATTATTATTGAAATTTTTAGATGCAAAAGCTTTCAAACAGCTAAAAGAGGAGAAGTTTGTAGAATACCTGGATGTACTGTGTCGCCTGCTGCACCAGGTACTCCAACGCCTATCAGATTGCCTCAATTTCCTCCAGAGACCTTCAAACAATTTCTGCTATATGTTTATACAGGAAAGGTAACAATAAGTTGTTAAACAATTTACAAAGTTCTAGGAATGTGCTTTCCAGATTTTGCTACAAGACAGTGGGGTATTTGAAATGATGGCTCTAGCCCAAGAACTAGGAGTGGACGAATTGAGAAATGCCTGCGAGGATCACGTCACTGCTACACTCTCGGTGCCTTCTGCCTGTACGTTTTTGTCCACAGCTATGGATATACAGGATAGATCCACTGGTAAGATATACAAAACAAATTGGGTTTTAATATTCAACTAGCATACCTATTATTCAAATTCTATATTTAACTCAATAAAAGAAGATAGTGGGAGATGTATCTTTCGGTCAAGTGACGGCAACTTTAGAATCAAATGTAACATGGTACCTATATTATTATGACATTTTAGGTACTTATGTCAGAAAATTAAATTACAAAATCGGCAAGAGAGAAAATGATGAAAAATTACATAATGAAACATTCGATTACGTGTTACGAAGTTATCACTTGGATAAAACTTTATCGCACACCCTGTATAATAATAATACAGTAAAAAAGTAAAGTAAAGGAATGCGAAATATTTAGGATGTTGGATTCTTAAGTTATCGGTTAAGGCAAACTATATCAAGTGCGATGGTGGTGTAATGGTCAGCATAGTTGCCTTCCAAGCAGTTGATCCGGGTTCGATTCCCGGCCATCGCATAACTTTTTGTTTTGTAATTTTATTTTATTCTTTATTTTTATGTTTCACAGTAACTGCCAACTTTCTTTTTCATACTTTATTTACATTTTGTTATTCTTCTTTAATTAATAATAATTATTTGGCCTATTACTAGTGGAATTATTACAAACAACAAACAACCCGTTAGTGATGTTGCCAAATTCTTTTGGTCGGATATGATAAACATCGATATATGCAAATCTTTAATATCGATATATCGCTTGGTGTTGAACGATAATAGGTTTGTTCGCACAGTAATCACAAACCAGTCAGAGTGAATTTCATTGGTTGAAACTAGTTTTTTGACTGTTTTCAATCAATAAAATTCGCTCTGACTGATATGTGTGCGACTGCTGTGCGAAAGCACAGCCTGAATCGCAAGCACCTCCATCGAGGTCTGCGGGTGACGTCATCACTATAAGCTGCTGATAGTGGCGTCACTCACAGACCCAAAAATTTGATGGAGAGGGAGTTAGGGGAGTATGAAGTATGACACAATTGACACATCACATAACCCAGCATAATCATTTAAGCCGTACTCATAACTTGCGAAATTCGCTTTTTTTGGCATTGCTTTGACAATTTGACGTTTGATACACACATAAAACGTCAAATTGTCAAAGCAATGTCAAAAGAAAAGCGAATTTCGCAGTTATGAGTACTAGGCTTTATGCTTGATTATCCTCGCGAAAAATTGCCTTATGTTTTGGATGTTTGACAGTTCAAATGTTCAAGAATTATCCAATATTGATCCATCAGTTCATACTCTGTGCTCGGGATCGAGTAGTTGAGTCGATTTCCGAACTAATATTTTTTGTTATGACGTTGAGGTTAAATTTAATCACATCACAACAATAACCATCACAATCAGATTCCCATTTTTATTTTGCTTGTGTCTGTATTTTAGGTAGTTCTGTTATTTGGAAAGAAAGTGCTCCGTGGCGCTATCTATTAGCAGTGAGTTATAGAAGTGACATTTTATCATTTTGACATTTAGTGAATTGACCTTTTGTTTGGACGCCATATTGCGGTGCGCGAACATAGTTGCCAAAAGTAGAAAAAAAAATAACTAACGTACTGTCAACATTAAAAACAAAAATTACTGAATAAATTAGATTTAAAATTTGAATTTGCCACCTATTACGAATGTTTTTGAAAAGAAAAGCCATCAATTTTAGCTTCTATTGGGTAGAATAGAAATAATAGAATATCTACCTGCATCAATCAGAGAGAGAGAGAGTAAACAAACAAAAAGGATAGCGAGGATCAATCATTTAGTTACTTTTGTTTTTAATGTTGTAGTGCTAGTAATTTTTGTTTTCTTTTTTTGGCAACTATGTTCGCGCACCGCAATATGGCATCCAAACAAAAGGTCAATTGACCTTTTGTTTGGACGCCATATTGCGGTGCGCGAACATAGTAGCCAACAGTAGAAAAAAATAAATTACTACCGTACTGTCAACATTAAAAACTAAAGTTACTGAATAAATTACATTTAAAATTTAAATTTGCCGCCTATTACGAATGTTTTTGAAAAGAAAAGCCATCAATTTTAGCTTGTATTGGGCAGAATAGAAATACTTTTGTTTTTAATGTTGACAGCCCGCTAGTAAATTTTGTTTTCTTCTTTTGGCAACTATGTTCGCGCACCGCAATATGGCGTCCAAACAAAAGGTCAATTGAGCCAATGCCCACTCCAGTTGGTAAACAAAATCTCTAGTTGGTTTCCAATACCCACGCCAATTGGTAAGACAAAAGGGCAGTCTTAATACTTCTATAAAATTGACTTAAACATGTTCTAAAGAATGGAATTTTCTAAAGTTTCAGATATCTTAATAGGTTTTTTAAACGGTAATTTATCTACTATATTCAAAAATCGGCGCGGATTCACCTGTTTATTTCCATTTCCTCTCTCTAGACATAATGTACCTTTCTATGACAAATGTCAATTTAGTACCTACTTGATTTTAGTCTATGCTTGATTTATATTATATCCTCCAAATTTTAGACCACATGCATACGCTCTTGCAGCAGAGATTGAAATTCTCTTTGATGTATGTAATAAACATACCATAACTATTGATAATATGCAACAAGTAATGAAAGTATTGCATTAAAAAATAAAAATGTACTTAAGAAAGCATTTCAATTATGCCAACTCCTCTTTACTGCAGGATATTCAATAGCAACCAATGAGCGAAAATTCAGCTAACTAAAACTCATAAACAATGAGTCACGTAGAACTATGGGAGAAGAAAGACTGATGGCCGTTTCCACCAACTATTTTAGGGGAGCCTTAACGACAAGTACTCCTCGGTACGGTTTGTTAGGAGAGTACGCGTCGCACAACTGACAACGTAAACGTCACAGAACACATATCCTCCGTGAGGATATGTATTCTGTGGTAAACGTCGTCATTGGTACAGGTATGACCATAGGTATGACGTACACCCGTTTTCTCACGTCAGAAGACAGGTGTACGTCATACCTGAACCAATGACGACGTTTACGTTGTCAGTTGTGCGTCGCGTACTATCCTAACAAACCGTACCTTTAAAAATCTTGAAATGATAGTATTCCATAGAGAAAAGTGTCAGTTTAAGGAATACTTATCGTTATTAGGGCTCCCCCAAATAAGTTGGTGGAAACGGCCAAGATCACCTAATGTCCCTCAAAAGTGAGGACTTGGCTGACTCTATGGACTTAATCCGAAATTATTCGCGATTGAGCTAAATTGAAAAATAGAAAAATACGTATAGACACGGTATAAAAAATAAGTTAGGTAGTAGAGTTTCAATCTGAATGAAATTTGCTACTGCAGAGTCGCTCATAGTGCATCCCCCTTACCCCTGATGCACCAAATTTGCGGGGGGTGCAAGAAGCCCTTTTAGGAAATGACTGTAATGTTAATATTAAAAAATAATGATCAAATCTGAATTGTGTGTTTTGGAGTGACTCCGAGGAGCTCGTTCGGTGTAACTCGATGTATAAAAGGAATACAGTAAGTGTTTATACTCTGCCGGAGTATACCATTTATACGCCAAAACCGAAGTGTGTGGTAGAAAAACACGATGGTTTTCTACCACACACTTCGGTTTTGGAACGACGTGTTTCATCGCGGCGATAAAAACCGTCGTATTTCATCGTAGTGTATGGGGCCCTATACATATGTTTTTTCATAGCGATATAAGGTAGTTCACATACAGGTATAGGTGCTTATATAAAGGTGATCTTTCTTAAATATGGCAGCGAATGTCGAATGTCATATTTCAAATTACAAATTCTGCCCTATTCGGAATAAACATTGTTTGAAAATAAAATATTGTATTTCATTCGGAGTAGGTAGAAATAAGTATTCTTCATGTGGTTTGCATGGATTTGATTCGCCTCGCTGCGCTCGGCGCTCAAACTTCCATGCGCGTCACACAAGTATTAACTTATACTCCTAATAAAATAAAATTAATATCTCGGCGCAATTAATCATAAGTTAATTATACGTTTTCTGTTTTTTATTTATTCTATAAAAGTTGATGAATTATCCACAAATAAATTACCCCAAACTTTTTTGTGATTTTCTAAAATCAGTTGGCTCATTACGACGTAAAGGCCCCCCCAATACCAAAGCTTTCGGAACGCCCCTGCGCCCCCGATTTGAAACGAACAGATGCGTGGTGCAAGGTGCAACAAACACTTTTCGAAAGGAATAAGCGCGTAACGCCGGTAACGCCCCGGAGTTTTCCCGGAGCTCCTCTCCTCCTAGGTGTGAACAACTATTGAGAAACCGGCCCGTAAAGTCTGTCTTTTTCTAAAGAATTCCGCAAGTCAAAAATTTAGTAACTATGTTGGCAACACAAGCCTTTTCTACATTAAAAATTTGAAAGCATTGACATTTACATTGTATTGCCAATAACATGATGTCATTTTGACTTTTATCTTAAAAGAAAAACACACTTTAGGGTATTTGCACTACACAGTGGCGCACCCAAGGGGGGGTTTTGGGGGTTCAAACCCCCCCCCCCGAAATTTAGCACTGGTACAGAGAATTTTCCGGTAAAAATTTTTTTTTTGCGATTTCGGTTAATAGCTACACTTGGGCCAAACATAAAACTAGTAAAGTCTGTTTTTTTTTTTTTAAGATAATTCCCCAAGTCAAAAATTTAGTAACTATGTTGGCAACACAAGCCTTTTCTACATAAAAAAATTGAAAGCGTTGACAATTTTACATTGTATTGCCAACATAATGTCATTTTGACTTCTATCTTAAAAAAAAAAAACAGACATTACAGGCTAGAGGTGTTTTTTCTCGGTTAAATTGGTTAAACCAGGTTGAACCTAATTCGAAACATTACATTTTCGCGTTGAACTAATGACGTCCAGGGATGTGCGTCTACACGTAGACTTTAATTGTCTACTTTACGTGTAGACAATGGTAGACAATGTAGACAACAACGTGTCAACAATGTAAAATAATATAAATGACGTCTAATTCTAACCTCACACTTTCCTTTCCGAAAATAAT